AATGAGGAATACAGCCCAAACCCAGTGAAATACAAACATGCTATTTATCAGTTCTATACATTTAAAATGTTTCAGCAGGTTTCTGTTGGGATTGTTATTTTTTTACCTCCTGAGTTTATAAAGAGCTCTATAAAAGGCCCACTCTCAGAGATGCTGAGCATCCTAAGGCTCTAAAACCCAGGAAAAATGAGGAATACAACCCCAAAAAAGTGAAATAGAAACACGCCATGTGCCAGTTCTATACATTTTAAAAGGTCCAGCAGGTTTTCTGTGGGGATTTTTACTTTTTTACCTCCTGGTTTAAACAGAGCTCTACACAAACCCCATTCCTGGAGATGCTGAGCCACGAAATTCCCATTAACATCCCACCAAATCAGCACCAACACAACCCCAGTGTTGCACCCCAATAAGCATATTATGGAAGCCCTATAAATGTGTTCAGCATGAGCAGCCAGTGCTGCTCTTGGGAGAGAAATGTTTGCCAAAAAGGCATTTTGACAGCTGGCACTGAGGAGCCCCTGTGCAGGTTTAATGAGAAAATAAGCCAGTGGCTTCTGAAATTCCTAAAAGCCTGGAGGAGCCACACAACAATCGCTAATCCAGGGACCAAGATAAATAATGTGATCATCTAAATTCAGGATAAACAATGAGATCATCTAAATTACAGCACCTCCACGTTACAGCAGTGGGGAGAAGAGAAGCATTTATCATATATTTATAGGTGAAATATGAAGTAATGTTGATGTTGCTGTGGGCACTTTAGAGCCCAGTAGAGGAAGGATTAAAAATTCACTTGGGTCCAGAGGCTGACTGAATTTCAGGGTTGGGAATTTGAACAGGAAAAATGGGTTAATTTGGCCATACATGTGCCAGCTTATCCTTAATCTTTGTATACCAAGGAGATTTGGCAATGCTGGGTTAATGGTTAGAACTGGATTATTTTAGAAGTTTTTTCCAATCTAAATGATTCTAGGAAGGGAAGAGGGGGGCAATCCAGGAGTACCTTGGACACCAAGAGACCCTAAAAAAGGTAGAAATGAGAGGTGAGAGGACACAATCCACTTGCTCCCCCTTCTTTCCCTCAAATCTCCATCGAGGGATGAGGAGGGAAAGGGCTGTCCCCTCACGAGCACCCCCCTCCCCAGACAGATGGACAGCCCTGAGCTGAACCTCTGAGCGCTGTGACTCCTCTTCCCCTTCGCCCTCCTCCTCCTCATGGTCCTCCTGGCCAGGAGGGCTGAGCTGGGGCTGCTCCTCGGGGCGCCCCTGAGCGAGCTGCTGCGGGGGCTCACGAGAAGGGGTAAGACGCTCCTCGTGGCTGCCCTCTCGGCCGTTCTCCTCGCCTCCCGCCATGAGCTGTGATAAGAAAAGAGGGGGCGGAGGGGCCGCGCTGTCGGTCCCGTCTCTACTCAGGCCTGGGCGCCGCCATCTTGTTTACCGTCTCGTTGCCATGGAGACGGGGAAGCGCCGCTCCCCCTCAGAGGATTCGCGCCGACCGCCCAACCAGCCAATAGAAACGCAGAGCGTGCAGCGGTGCACCTTGGGAGTTGTAGTTCGGAGCGCGGCGCGCCCTCGCCTTGTTCGCCGGGCCGCGGAGCATCTTGGGAGTTGTAGTCCGTCTCCCTGAGGCGGCCATTGGCCTGACTCCCCTCTCGCCTTCACACTGCAGAACAAACCCTTGGGGGTTTTATATATATACATATATATGTATACACTATATATATATAAATATATTTTATATATATTATGTTTGTATAAAATATAAGATATTTTATATTATATAAAACCAGATATTTTATATTATATAAAACCAGATCTTTTATAATATAAAATATATTTATCTATTTATATAAAATATAAAATATTTATACAATATAACATAATTATTTATATAATATAAAACATCATATGTTTATATTATATATTTATATTATTGTCATATTATTGTTATATTAAATATAAAATATCATATATCATATATCATAAAATAGCATATATCATAAAATAGCATATATTTTAAATATCTATATATAAAACAAACCTTTTTTATACATAAATATATAAATATAGAGAGAGATATAAAGTGACCTTGTCACTTTAAGGAGATAAAGACGCTCACCAAGCCCCTCTGACAAAGGTCACAGAGCCTTTACTGCCACCTCAATACCTGCATGGGGAGCAAAGCGTTTATTCTACATTTTTGGTCAACTATAAAGTAACTGAGACCCTCATATTTTGAGAGGTCATATTTGAGGGGTTTAAATTCGCATATCACACCCCTAAGGATCAAAATGAAAAGAGGACATGATGCCCTCCATGTATAACCACGGTCACCAAAATCCCACCTGTGATTGTTCCATTCCATTGGGAAGGGCCAAAAATGGGATAAAAGGGGGATTTCAGGGTAAAAATTCGAAGGGGAAAACACGTCTTCTTTTTTGAATCTGTTGACCACCATGTCTCTCCTCCTTCCTTGAAGGGACCTTTGTGCCTCCAACGCATTGGAGCAGCCCCAGGAACATTAAATTGATATATATATTTATATATTTAGCACTAATAGATCTCTGTTTCTGTATTTTCTGTCACAACAGGTATTATCATCAGTGCATATATCATTTATCACTGGCAATCCTGAATCCACTTTCCTGTTGCTCCAATAAATTGTATTATTTGTGACTCCAGGTCACAAAAGTTCTCATTGAACTCGGCCAAACCTACCTGCAGTATCATAAAATTATAGAATTATTTAGGTTGGAAAACACCTCCAAGATCAATGAGTTGAACCAGTAATCAATAACCATCAAGTCCACCACTAAACCACATCCCCAAGTGCCACATCCACGTTTTTTAATATTTATAAGATTATAAATCGTGCTGTTTGCAATTGCACAAGTTCTTCTTGGACTTGACCAGACTTCTAATGCTGAATTTATTTTATAATTTTACAATCAGAAATTAATTCCCATCTCTGAGAATCAGCTGGAAATCAAAGGGGATTACTTTCTGCCAAATTTCTATACCCTTAACAATGACAATTATTAACTCCTTTGATAATCAAATAATCTCCAGGGCACCATTACCTTGCTTTTCCTATTTTTTTTTTGTCTGGGAGGGCTGGTGCCATCCATCATTTCTACTGGGAATCACAACCATCTGCAGGAGTGAGGGCCTGGGGCGCTTTCAAAGGAGGAAGGAATGTGTTTCCTTAGGAAAAAAAGTACAATTTCAGAACTGGTGGAGGGAAAAAAAAAAATCTATATTATCATTTTGACGGAAATATTTGGGAAATAATAAGAGATGAGACTGTCACAGAGGAAGAGAAGTAAAATGACAGTTTTTGAGATCTTTTTGTCTGTTATCCTGGTTTTACTTATCACATATATCTTGCAGACATCGGTCTGCTCTTAATAGAAGTCTGAACTAAAGATGCTAAAGGTATTTGAGTTTTTGAGTCTATCATCTACTGCAGGACGGGGTAAAATGAGAAGGTAAAGGCAGAAAATAAAAGAGGGGAGGAGGAGGAGATGTGTCTGGATGTCTCCAAATGCAGAGATAAACCCAGGAAGAGTGTTGCTCCATATGGTAAAACAATTTAAGGTTGGGAACAGTGGATCTCCAGTATGGGTGGTGACAGTCATGTGAGCCTTGAGTACTGTAATTCTGGGTTTAAACATCACATAATTGCCTTCTCTGTGCTCACAAAGTGACGCCCATCTCCTAAGGAGATGGCTATTGCTGAAAAAAGAATCAAACAAAAAAAATATAAAAGCTCCCTAATGGACGTCACCCCTTGACTTTTATCTCTGGGCTTCAGGGAAACATTATGAAAACTGGAGTCGAGCTCCCCCAGATGACCTTCCTTCATTATCTCACTGGCCATAAATGTTAAAACCCTTCCTGGGATTTATTCCCAACTAAGCACCCCAGCGCTCCTCCCACACCCTCGGCACACAGGAGGCTCTTCTCCAGCTGCTGAGTGTCCAGGATTCTACTTAGGAATGGGCAGCAAAGGGAAAGGTTGGAAAGCTCAGGGAAGGACAGAAGATGCTGAAAGGGAAGGAGGGATCCTATCTGGGAGTATGTTTTGGGATTTGTTGTGACCCAGGAGAACAATTCCTGACTCGGCAGAGCTACGAAGCCAAGCAGGAGTTGCTCCAGGGCAGCTCCCTACTGTGCTGTTCCGTGGCTGCTCCAAGCTTTCATGTTATTTGGGATATTCTCCTTCCCAAATCCATGTGTTTTGTACTCTCCATCAGCAGATTTCACCTTCTGCAAACAGAGAAAGCCACTTTCTGAGGGGAACCGTGTGCTCTCTCGCTGCGGGATTATCCTCCATGCCCTGCTTCCCTCCAGTGCTGGGGCTCCGTGGGATCACAGGATGTGGCTGTTGGCCACCACGTGCCACCCTGGCATCCCAAAAAGTGCTGCCTGGCCCCACCACGCCCCTGAGTGTGCCACTGTGGAGTTTCCTTACTCTGCTTCCCACATTTTAAAACAAGGGGCGATTGGGTCAAGCCCGCAGGAGATGGGACACTTTTCACCCAGAGGAGTTGTGGAAACATCTGCCTTTAGTTGGAGCTTGACAGAGGGCTTTGAGAACTGGGAAAACTTCATGATATGGAAAATCTGTGAGGTTTTAGAGAGGAAAAAAAGCCTCTTTATTCAACATCACAGCTTTGGCTGAGCCTGACAACTTGAAGCCACACAGGGATGAGGACCCTGGCAGGACCTGGTGCAGCTCCTGTGGCTTTTCTGTCACTCAGTGAGTGGTTCTTGGAGCCTCAGGGCAGAAGGTGGTGACTTGGACCCTTGTGGTTGCTCTGGAGGCCGTTGCCATCTGTGGTAGGTGGCAGTGACTGCCACCAAGAGCAGATTTAACCTGGCACAGCCTAGGTTGTGGCTGGGCTTAAATCCCACAAATGGACATATAATATATATAACACATACATTTTTTCCTGTCCAGTGCTGTGCCTTTGCAACCTGGGCAGCCAGACAAACACCTCCCAGCTCCCCAGGCTCCACATGGAGAGCAGATGGGTGTCGGGAAGGCAGCTGAGAAGCTTCGGATTCACATGCAGCAGGTTTTTTTGGGAAGATACTTCCCCGAGCTCCCGATCCCTCAGAGAGGCAAAGGCCACGCACATAATCAAATTAATATCTCGCTGGGCAGCTCGTCCTTGTGAGACAGGGCTGGAGGTTTCCTGGGAACAGATGACAGGGAAAGGGCAGCTCCAACTGAGGTTTACATGGACTGCCATGGAGCTTGGAGCAGGGCCAGCCGGGCTAATGAGTTCTCAGCTTGGAAGCGTCACAGAGTTTATTTGCTACCATCCGGAAAATGCCCGCCCTTCCACTGGGATTCAGGCAGGAGAAGGGGTTATTAAAACCTCAGAAATGCACTTTTCCTCCCTCCTTGTCTCCCCCACCCACCCCGTCTGTTTGGCTTGGCTGACACACTCCAGGATGAAATGGCTCCCTGGAGATCCCTCTCCAACGAGGGATGGCAACTGGAAGGAAATCAACCTCGTGGATTTGGGGCCAGAGACAGATTGTTCCTGAACAGGGCCGTCAAAAAGAGAAGCAGAAACAAAAAAAGCCTCTGTGGCAATGGGAATTTTGGGGGACCCAGAAAATAGTTGGGAAACGTCACCTTGGACCTCCTCCTTCCAGTTGTCCAGCACGGCACATCCAGCCAGGGATTACCCGGGATATGTTCTCTTCCTTGGCAGAAAGGATGGAAAATTGAGCTTTTTTTCCTCCATAAACTCCTAAGCAAGGCCATCCAAAAAGGCTGACATCTGTCTGTCCGTCTCCCTCCAAGATCCATGTTGGGTTTTAAGCTTTCTCAATGATTTGTGCACCTCCCTCTCCTTGTCTTCCACCCCCTGTGCTCCCAGTTTTAGCCCCAGTTTCTCCATGGTCTTTATGGGCACCATTTCCCAGCAGATTTTGATTCACATCCCCCAAAATGTTACCATATTCCCTTGGTTTTCTTATTTATTGTTCCTGTGGTCACTCCTGGAAAACAAGGTTGGCCAGGAATGTTGGAGGAGCTGGAAAGAGCTAATCCTGCACATGAGGGACTTTCAGAGCAGCCCAGGCTGCTCTTCTGAGTGATTCATGAGCACCAGCTCAGTTATTCCCAGCCTCACCTGACACATTCCTGCTCTTCCCGGGAGAAGGAGGATTTCTGGATGCACCAAGGAGAGATAAACCTTCTAGGCCGACGTTCAGTCAGGAGGAGGAGGATGGGTATCCAGGAGGGTGGGAGAAAGGGCAGCACACCCCATGGTCAGCTTGGATCAGTGAAGTTCAGTGGTTTGAGGTGGACTCAGCCCCAAAAATGCATCTAAAAGAGCCCCCACTGCTCTCATTTTCTCAAGGTAAAAGCTTAAAGAAGGGGATGGAGCAGCACAGGCAGGTGAGAAGCGACTCAGGCTGTGCTAAGGAATTCATTAATGAACTAATGAACTCATTAATCTGTTGTTCTTGTCATTGGTGAA